GAGTTGAAGTCCACTCGTCTTAAAGTGGCCAAGTTTGAAAAACACTGGTCTATGGTAGCAAAAAAACAGGAGTTGGCAGTGCCTTTTCCCACTCACAAATTTTATTCAAAGGCAGAAGCTCACGAAAGCTGGCTGACGGGTGACTCACCTTTTCTTCCACTCCATGTGTGTATCTCCCGCGCGATGCCCCTGAAGCTCCGGGCATCCTGCCACCAAACGTACAGAAGGATCAGACAAATTAAGGAGAAGGCAAGTTCTCACCGGCTGAAGGAGAACATCTGCCGTCCAGGTTTTAAAAGTTCCCGACTTTGTGACTCCATGGCACAATTAGGTAGTATTTTTACTCAGGGCATGCTCGCCTCCCTACGCACGGGGCAAGGCCTCTGAAGTGCCCTGCTTGCCAAGGGCAGCCTGCAAACTGTCGATCTCCCAGCAGCATCTCTGGGGGAGCCACCCTTGTTTTATGGAGGCAAGGGGAAATTCCATTCAGCGCAAAACATGGGACGATCCCCAAATCAAAAATGCAGTTTAAAATTAGCAACCGCAACCAGAGTTTTTTAAAAGGCTGGGGGGTGGGAAGTCCTTTTGCAAGGGTGGGAAGGAAGGCTTGGGGAACCCCCCCCCTTGCAGGGTGCTGCTCTCCCCTCGTGGGAAGGAAGGGGCCCTTGGCCAGAGGCTGTAAGGGAGGGGGCAAAGGAAGGAGGGACCCCTTTCGTGGTGGCACATTTGCATAAGCTGCAAACTGAAATCCCCTTTTTCCTCCTTACCTTCTGGTGATCAAAGAGACCCTCCCCGCCTTCAGGAGCCCCTGGGTTTGTTTTTCAGAGCTTTAATCCCCACTTGAAAGGAGGTCGGAGGTCCTAATGAGGCTCCAGGTGGGGCCCTGTGGAGGCCACCTGGGGAGAACAGGCCCCCCACCTGGAAAGGCTTTGAAGTTGGGCCAGCCCCCACTGCCCTGCCCTCTGGGGTGCCTTGAGGGTGGCTCCAGAGCTGACCGCCCCCCCTTTGGCCCCCAGTATAAATCCCCAGGACTGACCCCAGACACGGAGTTGGCGCGTTCCCGGGTGGAAGGATGCGGCTCTTGGCCTGGCTGACCTGCCTCTCCAGCGTCCTGGGTAAGTCCCTTCCCTGGCCGGCTCCCCCGCCATGTGGGAAATATTATTATTATAATATTAATATTAATATTATTATTATTGATTATTGATTT